GGCTTGTTTTACAACGTCGTTGCCAAGCGACGAAAACCCAATCCCGATGGCAAAACACCGGGGGGGGGATGGGGGGGGCATTGCGAGAGTGGGGGTCTTTCTAGCGAGCAGGGCTAGACTCACATTCAAGGAACCGATACCTTCTTGCTGCGGCGCACCCGCCGCGAGGCTTGCGTAGTGGTGGAGTTGGGTCGGCACTGGTGCGTCAGGTACAAAGGTGCAGATGCGCGGGCCTCCAGGCCGTCGGTGTAGGCAGCAATGCCCATCTCATCCTTGTGCGCGGAGGCAGACGTCATCAGAAAGGTGGACGGGCACTATGNCTGTCTCAGTAACCTGGTTTTGCCATCAAAGGAGGAGAAGACAGGTGGTGACGAGCTGATTGGGCTGGTTGACCCTTCGGCGCGAGAATATTCAGACCAAGAACCCTAAGTGCAACAAGGGAGAAAGCGAGGAAACGACTGGGGAGGACAACAACGAGAGCGTGTACGAAGCGGAGCGGGTCATTTTTTGGTCGTTGTAGGACTGGCCACAGCGGCACCGGAGAAGCGGCACCGGNAATTGGTGTCAGGTACAAAGGTGCACATGCGCGGGCCTCCAGGCCGGCGGTGTAGGCAGCAATGCCCATCTCATCTTTGTGCGCGGAGGCAGACGCCATCAGAAAGGTGGACGGGTACTATGTACACGGCCCTAGGTGTGCTAGAGGGAGCTGTACTGTCTCAGTAACCTGGTTTTGCCATCAAAGGAGGAGAAGACAGGTGGTGACGAGCTGATTGGGCTGGTTGACCCTTCGGCGCGAGAATATTCAGACCAAGAACCCTAAGTGCAACAAGGGAGAAAGCGAGGAAACGACTGGGGAGGACAACAACGAGAGCGTGTACGAAGCGGAGCGGGTCATTTTTTGGTCGTTGTAGGACTGGCCACAGCGGCACCGGAGAAGCGGCACCGGAGCAGCGGCATCGGAGCAGCGGAATCGGAGCATGCGGACGGCATCGAACCGTGACGCACGGACAAACATGTCAAATATTTTCCGTTTTTTTTTCCTGAATAGACTATAGGTGTTGGGTGTGTGTGATGGCGTCACTGGTTTTGTAGAGAAACGCGGCAGAGATGGCGCGGATAACCCGGGTGCCTTGATTGTATACCTGCATCGTGGAAGATCCCTTCAATGTGGAACGATTCCTAGTCAGTGTCGATGTTAACACTGCTGTGTCTAACACAGATTATCTACATAGATTCGGGTGATTGTCAATTGCATTGTATGTTCACGGCCTCATTCTGACAGCACTTCAGACAACAGCTGCATGCCCCGAGCTTGTGTACCATGCTTTTACCATGGTGTTATCATTGTACAGACGGCCCTTCAGACAGAAGCACGCTGTAGTCGACATTCATTTTGATTAAGTGCGGGACAAGGGGGGTGATGCTGCTGCTGTAGTCGAATTGTAGTGTGTGGGCGTGTAGTTCAGTTGGCACGCAAACGTGCCGCAAGAATTGTAGGTGCACCTCCTCGGGCTTGTTTGCCCTTTTCTTGCTATTATTGTGCGTGTCCTTTTGATCTTCTGATGACCCTAGCATTTTGATGGCCACGGACCGAGTCCTTGCTAGATTTTGGGATTAGCAACTGACACGAGTTTAATGTGAAGAAAACAACAACAACAACAACAACAACAACAACAACAACAACAACAACAACAACAACAACAACAGTAGAGCCAAGGCCGGCACACCAACCTAGAACATCCACCCAAGCGCCAACCAAGCACCTATCGCGCGGGTCTGGGGTTAGGGGTAAGGTTAGCGTTACGACCTCAGCCGGTTTCATGCCCCTGCCAAAGCACATAATTAGCAAGTTTGGTGAGGCAGATATAGCCGATGTAGACTACTGTTTATTGAAACGGTCGAATTTGCCAGAGGCGTTATTGTTCCTGTATTTCGGGGTATCAGGTTGAGAAGAGTCCTTTTGGGATGGTCACTTTATCGGAGAGTTCACGTGCAGGAGAAGGCTCGCTGGACAGCGTGGAATAGCAGATTTATACAACAGCAGTACGTGAACTCAGAGAGGGATAGCAAGGATTGGCCAGATTGGGAGGCCAAGAAGTTGCGTTCTTTCCCGCCCACCCACCCTTTTTCTTTCGAAGGTGAGGGAACGGAAGGAATGCAACGGGTAGAGTAAATGGTAGAGTACCATTTGGGAACTTGGTCGTCTGAGATGTTCCGTACAGTAGGAAGAGTTCCCCACACCGGTGGAATGAGAAACCCCGGGCTGTTTTCTTTGGGAAGAGAGAGAGACAGTAGAATGAATGGACAGAGACACGGTAGGACAGGCGCAGAGGGCGTCTACAGGAATCGTGTTCTGTCGGCGTGGTTTCTCTCTCTTCCCCGCGTGTGAAGAGAAAACATTAATGCAAAAAGGCAATTCGAAAGAAAAACAATAAATCATGTCTGAGTCATGTCCGAGTCATATCCGAGTCATGAACGTCATGACTGAGTCATGATCGAAAACCATGTGCAATGAGTTCAGGTATTTTTTCATTCTAAGGAGACTATTTCCGCGATCTCATAGCTTCATTTCTCGGATGCTTTTGCTTTGACCATGAGCGAAATGAGCTTGAGTTCATTTGCGGCAACCAGGGTACTTTGTAAGGGGACAGAAGTACCCCGACGGGACATAGGCGGGGGTCGGTACGGGCATACAAGACGATTCCGCGTGAAACACCAAACAAAGTTGAAGGGGATGTCCAGACACGCCACAAACGCCCAACGGTACATCGAAGGCACAGCAGTGGTGAGTGGTGCGTGTCGCACTTCATTCACACGCACGAGTCTGATGCTCGACCACGCAAACTGATAAAGCTTCCTTTGCACGCACTATTTTTTTCCGAATGCCTACTCTACCTTGGCCGATGGCCTTCGTTCTTGTATATTGAAATGATTAATAATGATGTCGTAGTGCTGGCCCGGTTCGGCGTTTAACAGTGATAACTTAATGTCTGCCAGGGCCCGCTTTCATGCCCGTGATTTCCGCGCTATTGTGATTGGCATTCTACCGGGGGGCACTACTGGCGTACGGTTTTGGATGGGGCATTAAACTGATAGTCTGGTATTGTTCGAACTTCGTTTTCGCCAGGCGCCACGCCAGGTCAAACGAGGCGTCCCTGCTCCGCAACCACGATGGAGACACAAAAGAAATCTCTGCACAAGCTGGACGCGCGAGCATCGGGTAGCCTTGGCAGCGTTTAGCCGAAGGAAGGTAGGTACGCGAGGCTCTCGGCGCGAAAACCCGTCTACGCATTCGTGTGAAACACAGGTTCGCGTTTCTGCCACGACCCGCGTAGTAGAAGATGGACGGCGATTTCGACGTCAAGCCACAACCACTGATCAAGAAGCGATTCCTTCTGCCTCTGTCTGTATCCCCTAGTTGGTTCCTGCGCCCCCCAGAACTCTTATCTTTCATTTCCATACCACAACACTGGCGCTCCCTCGCTTTCGTTATCCAGCACGCTATTGGGGAACGTTGTAGAAGAATTTTTTGTTTATTGAGGAACCCAGACGTCAGGTCGAGGAAAAATAATCTTTCGCGCCGGGCAACACCTGGTGCGTTCGGCCAGCTCTAGCTTGTGTGTAGGAAACGTGGTCACACCCCTCGGCATGACACAAACGGGTGTATGCGTGTGTGTGTGCTTTTATTATTAGCATCGACCGCGCTAACCGGCTGACCAATGAAAAGACGTCAGTCTCAGTGCGGCGGGAAACACAAAATGTTTCTGTGTATGTGTGTGGGTGGGTGTGTGTCTTTTTTTTTGTATCGACCTCGCTAACCGGTTGACCAGAATAAAGACGTCAGTCTGAGTGCCGTGGAAAACACACAATGCTTCAGTAGACCGCGATCTGGGATCCTGTCACCGAGCGTCATGACGGAGTGTGCGCTGCTCTCCGGAGTCTGTGTGTCTGTGTGTGCGTTTTGAATACTTGTGAAGCATCGAACGCTCGAACCGGTTGGTCAATAAAATCACGTCGATTTCAATGGGGATTAATACAGATGCCTCTTGAGGTTATGGTCTGAGACCCCGTGGGGGGGGCAGGCTAGCTAGCTATGAAAATTCGTCAGTCTCGGTGGGGTTGAAGCAGAAAGTGCTTCTGAAGGCCACGATCTGAGACCTCGTGAAGGGGCGTCATGGGGGCGGCTAAGCCACTCTCGGCTTTGGGCGTCATGGGTGCGGGTCTTCTAAGTTCGCATCAACCGCGCAAACCGGCCGACCAATGAAAATGTGTCAGTCCTGTAGCAGGACGAAAACAAGTAAATGGATGCGATCTATCGTCAAGGGGGGCTAGGGAGGTGTGTTCAAATTTATTACTTTAGCTTTGAACGCGCTAATCGGCTGACCAGTGAACAACGTGTGCGCGTTTTCAAGTGCGAATCACCGCATTTTGTCAAATACACGTCACTTGAATACATGGGTTGCCTCCCCGTGGCAGTTGATCTGTTGCGGCGTACCTGTTCAGGACCAGCCTGTCCCCTCGCGGCCTAAGATGCAGCTTCTCTCAACAATCAAGTTTCTTCACATAATCGTTCTACCTCGGCCTTCAAAACGGGTGCGTATTCTTTAAGGTCTTCATCCACGGCGACGCTTGACAAACGTATGGTCAGGTCTGGCGTTGACGTCATGCACTTAACACGTAACTGGAAATTATCATACTACTAGGTACTGCGGCAATAGACATAAACAACAGCTTTCCGTTCCCGTGGCTTACGCGCAGCTGTTGTTGGATGCCACAAGCTTCCAATCGAATGCCAAATGAGTGCTATTTCTCGACTCTGGGGTGAAAATCGACGAAAAGCCATCAGAACGGCGGGTGATAGTGCCCTATTCTGGGTGCATGAGTGCAGCTATAACCTCAAGCTAGATTCGACCACCGAAACCCCTGTTGCCTTTTGCGTAGATGGACATCTTCCAGGTTATGTGTGGGCCTTTTGGGAGCCGTCGCTCGAAGCTAAGAACTTCAGAACTGCAGCGTCGGCACCATCCCAGTTACCGTCGGGAGCACCGCCGACGCGGCTAGCTTGGCAACGAACGTCCATTCTATATGCGAATGGTGATTTCAGCGTGCGGTGGGTTGGCGAAATATTCGTCGCAGAAACAATTCGTGTCATCAACGGCACATCGCTCAACGTCACTGGCGCTGGACCGGGCGCAATTGCGGACGGCAGTGGCAGTACGCAACTGTTCGCTGTAGATGGAGGTTCAAACCTGCACCTCTCGAACATGACTTTGAGCAACGGCAACACTTCGTTTGGTGGGGCTGTCTTTGCGAACCAATCGAGTGTTTCGTTTTTCGGAACTACGTCCTTCAGCTCCAACTCCGCGTACTATGGGGGTGCAATTGACGCGATTTATTCGAGCTTGTCATGGAATGGCGACGGCACCCTGTTCAGCTCCATTTTTGCGGAATATGGAGGCAATCAACGCGTATGAATCGACCGTGTCTTGGGATGGCGATGGAACCCGATTCAGCTCGAACTATGCTAACGGATCTGGAGGTGCAATCCTCGCATCGCCTAGTTCGACCGTGTCATGGGATGGCGACGGCACCCAGTTCAGCTCCAACTCCGCGGATTATGGAGGTGGAATTGTCGCGAGTAATTCGGCCCTGTCCTGGAATGGCGACGGAGCCGAGGTCAGCAACAACTCCGCTAGCGAATATGGAGGTGCAATTGACGCGAGGTATTCCACCGTTTCATGGGATGGCGACGGCACCCAGTGCAGCTCAAACTCAGCGGATTTTGGAGGCACAATCAACGCGTATGAATCTACCGTGTCTTGGATGGCGACGGAACCCAATTCAGCTTCAGTTCCGTGGACTCTGGAAGAGGCTACGGAGGGGCAATCGTCGCATCGGCTAATTCGACCGTATCATGGAATGGGGACGGCACCCAGTTCAGCTCCAACTGCGCTGGGTTTGGAGGCGCAATGCACGTGGACGCTGACTCGACCGTGTCATGGAATGGTTACGCAACCCATTTCAGCAACAACTCCGCCGGCGAAGATGGAGGCGCAATCAGCGCGGATGGTTCGGTTGTCTCCTGGGATGGCAACCGAACGCAGTTTGCTCCAACTATGCTGGCAACGATGGAGGTGCCGTCCGCGCATATCCTGATTCGATTGTTTCCTAGGATGGCCAAGGAACCCAGTTCAGCTCCAATTACGCAAACGGCGATGGCGGTGCAATCCTAGCGTGGGATGCGATCGTCTCCTGGGATCGGAACACGACCTTCAGCAACAACGCTGTGGGGGGGAACGGCGGCGGGATAGCTTTCATTGACTTGGGACAGCGTGAACATGTTCTAGAGAGTGAAATTTCCACGCTCTACTTTTCTACCGTGGCATTTGTCAACAACAGTGCAACCAATGCGGGGGCATTATTATTGTCAAACTCGGACTACGGCTTCAACTTCACCGACCTTTTACTTCAAAATACCCGGGCTAGTTATGCCGGTGGGGCGGTCGCGGCGTACGACATCGATCTGGCCAATGACGTTTTCGACGTGTGCTTTCTTGGACAACGTGGCAAGCGTAGCCGGAGGGGCAGTTGACATCGTGTCTGGATTCCAAGAATTCATTTCCTTTGATTTTGAGGGTAACTCAGCAGGTGAGAGACAACCCATTCCTCGGGTACTCCTTTTCTGGCTGGCCATACTTGTCTTATTTGATAGCGGGTGTACTACCACCGTTGAACTTCTCTTCGAATCGTATTCCCTGAGCGTATACCGACCCCTTCGAATCATATTTTCAGATGTCGCAGCTTTAAAACTCGGAGGTTCAGCGGATATCATCGAGTGTTCCTTCCTCTCCAACGTGGCTTACACCGTGTTCGTGGACTCGTCGTTGTTGTGGTAGATTCTGCGACTTTAGCGGCTCATCGTTCGTCGGAAACCAACTGTCCTGCGCTGTCGGCTCGTGTCCAAGCGATACCGAGAAGGTAAAACGGGACGGCATTTTGCAGGTTAGTCGCTATTCCGCTCGTCGGTGGCGCGCTATTGTGTTTGCATTGATGGCGACGCAAGCCTATCTACTCTTGAACTAACCTAAGGCTTCTGCTGCTTCGTGTATCCATGCTATCAATAAGAGGTTGGTATGTTGCGAGTACCTGGAACGACCCTTTTCAAACACCCGAGTATTTTTGAGCGAAATCGCTTCCAGGTTGACAAGCACTCAATCAAGCTGCTTCGTGGTTCCCTCTTGGCAAAGCAGGAAGAATCCAATGCACGGTTTGAGATGGTGTGCTTTGGCGGTCCTGATTGGGAAGAGTGCTCCGGCTGCTCCATCGAAAGCGGTGACGTCGCGCCGACATGCATGGTGCCACTAGAGCACACTTCAGTATTGATGAAAGCTTCTGGCGCGCGATCAACGATAGCGCCATCATCCTGGCGTGCTTCAATGCAGATGCCTGCACAGGGGGAGAAACGGGGGCGGACAGCTTTTGTGCCTCAAGATACCAGGGACCATGTGAGCTGGGGGTGGGGCAGTTTACAACACATGAGGCTGCCTCTGACATTTTTCGGAAGGCGTGAGAGTCCTCGCTCGCGTCCACTCGTTTCTGGACCCGTATCCTTGGTATCCTTGTCGTGTGCCTATTTCTACCATTGCATATTGCAACGTGTGCGAAACCGCTTATTCTCCATCGCTTGCTCACACTTGTACACAATGCTCGAGTTCAAGACGCCACGGACTCATGGCCGCCACGGTCATCGCCGCGATTGTGGCAGCCTATGCTGTTGTGACAATTTTTCGATATATGGTGTCGACGGAGCTTGAAGACGCGTATGTGGCGCGCTGCCATCGAAGGGTACTTCAAGCCGTTCCTGTCCAGGCATTGAAGATCATCTTCGTCGTGTGGCAGATATTTACCCAGGTACACCCTCATTGAACATGCCAGGCTGATTTGTGTTGGAAACATTCCAGTGTCGAGCCCAGAAGCTCAGCACAGAACTCTATTCAAACGGGCGGGCACACCGACTTCAGAGAGTGCGTCAAACGTCAAAGGCAGGAAACCGCAGTGCACTGACAGAAGGCCATGAAAGTTTTTCGCGGGCCTGACCGCCATGTCCTAACCCCATCTGAATGAAAACGCAATCGTTCCGCACAGTTCGCTGACGTGGCCAATGCCACCCATCCTGGCGTGTACCAAGGCTTTTGGAGCGTGATCGACGTGGTCAACTTCGACTTTGGTTTCTTTCTGGCGGCCGGGTGCTTGTGGTCCGACTTGGACTTCCACGACCGACTTCTTGTCAATACCATGTGGCCGTTGGTTGTTGCTAGATCATTGGCGTGTACCAAGGCTTTTGGAGCGTGATCGACGTAGTTAACTTCGACCTTGGTTCCTTTCTGGCGGCCGGGTGCTTGTGGTCCGACTTGGACTTTCACGACCGACTTCTTGTCAATACCATGGGGCCGTTGGTTGTTGCAAGATCATTGGCGATGTCGTACTGGATCGCGATTTGAATAAGCAGCGCGTCCGAAGCCACTGCTCTAGTAGCGCAAATCCGTCACAAATATCAGACGGCTCTCCTCCTCTTGACATTCCTGGTGTATTCCTCGGTATCGTCAACGGTGTTCCAAACTTTCGCCTGTGAGACCCTTGACGACGGAAATGAATACCTCCGGGCGGATTTCCGTATTCATTGCACCGATGCCAAACACAAGGCCTTTGAAGTCTATGCAGGGGTCATGCTTGCTGTGTACCCTGTGGGTATCCCTCTGCTATACGCCATCCTGTTGTTTCGACGTCGCCACGTTCTGGTCGACGCTGTTACCGACAAGACCGTACCTCAGTCAATTTCCGGTCTTCGGGAGCCGTACAGGTCCGAGTGGTTCTACTACGAGGTAGTCGAGTGCGGACGCCGTGTCATGCTGACGGGTGTAGTTATCTTTGTCTTTCCGGATGATGCAGCCCATTTCGCGATCACCATGCTCATAGCCTTCTCTTTCTTAATCGTTTTCGAAATTTTGTCGCCATACGAGTCGGAGTCCGACATATGGCTTTCGCGGGGGGGTCATGTGATCGTGTTCCTCAGCACGTTCGATTTGTTGCTTCTGAAGGTGGATGTGTCCGGCGAGAGCGACCAGAGCCAGACCATGTTTGCGGGGGTGTTGGTAGCAGGGCACATGTTGCCGATTCTTGCCATCTTTGCCGAGGTGGTCGGCATCTGGTATGCCTCAGGGAAGAAGCGAGTTGTCAGAGCAGGGGTATCACCCGAGATTTCTCCGGGTGAGGCGAAACGCACGATAGGATGAAGCACCTGCGCTTGAAAGTTCTCCCGCATGATGGCGGCCGCTCATGCGGCAAGGTTCAATGTGGGAAGAGCCTGGACAACCGCATCTCTCTGCGACCGTACTTGCGTTGTTTAGGCCGTCAAGCTAGAGAGTCACTACTGTTGTGCGCCTGATGATCGTTTCATTCTCTGTGCGCGATGATATGATGGTGCATGTCGACGGAGATGCCAACCGGGTATCTTCGTTTTGCTTAGGGTTGGGCACGTGTGCGTGCAAGCAAGCGGGAACCTTCCATACTAGTTGAGACTGGCGTCTTCGTTAGTCCGATGATGTTCCGAGAAGACGCATGATGGTTGAGCTATTGATATCGGCATGTCGTGCGACGAATAATTGGTGTTTCTCAGCGTACGCTTCGCGGTCGCCGCTACGCATAGCCTGTATGGCGATGTCAAGTGTGTGCGGGTCGCGACGTTCGCCCCGAGAGCGCGTAGCACGGTAGGAGGGCCTCGCAACTCAGGGCTATCGGTAGATGCAAGTCTCGCGGCGAGGCAAGATCTATGGGCGGGGAAATGGCAAACGACCGAACATTGGGCGCGCGAGCGAGCCATGATTGGCATCCCGGAAAGCTCGTCAGTCCTCAACCTGCAATAACTTCGTCTATAGGCCTAGTAGTACCCAGGGCTACATGTAGCTTTTTATTTACTGACGAAAGGTCTGAGCTCCGCGGCTGGGACCGTACATCAACCCTTATGACACCCCCCCCGATAGACTTCCCCCCCGGTGTTTACCATCGGGGTTGGGTTTTCGTCGATTGGCAACGACGTTGTAAAACAAGCCGCCCCCCCCCGGTGTACCCGCTGCAATCTAGACTTCAGTGGGTTGGCGCTGTTGGCAAAGCGCTGTAAAACACGCCACCCCAAATATAGCCCCCATAGTATGCGCTACCAAAGACGCGTGACGCATGGATGCGTGGAGTGAGGATTGCTTACGGAAACCTCACAGGTTGAGCGATGTAGGAGATTGCCGGACACATAGACGTGTTGAGTGATTATAGCTGTATACTGAAACCCCACGGAAAGGGAAGGTTTGAGATTGCCAGACACATAGACGGGTTGCGTGGGCATAGCTGCTGGAACCCCACGCGTTGAGTGATGTTGGAGTGCCGGACACATAGACGCGTTGAATGAGGATAGACACATATTGAACCTCACAGGTTGTTTGTATTGGAGATTGCGAGACACCTAGACGTGTTGAGTGAGGATAGCTGCATACTGAAACCTCACAGATGCATTGGTCTTTGCCAGACACACACATAGACGCGCTGAGTGGGGATAGCTACATATTGAAACCTCACAGATGGATTGGTTTTTGAGTTTGCCAGACACATA